ACATATGTAATACTTTCAACAATAAAGATTTTAAAAAATAAAATAAAATAAAATGTAGGGATGTTACTAAGACAGGCAGCTTGCAGAGAGAACTAATCACAAGGCAGAGAGGTGTATAACCAATCCCAAGAATGTTACTAAGGCAGAATTCTTTGAAAGGACCAATCAGGAGCTAGCAAGACATGTATCTACCCTAGACAAAAAAAAAAAAAAAAGCAGGCTGTTTTCTCTCTCTCTCCCTCTCTCTGGTGCACTGGGTTCCTGGTTTCTGTGGTGGGGGATGTGCTCCCCTGTGCCCATGTGGCTTATGGCCATGTGGGACTGCACACACAGACTAATGGACTTTAATTAGCTTGGATGCTGAACTACATCCAACTGCAATATGGAATGGGAGCTCTGGACACTAGCCTGCTTTTGAAACCCCGCTGCACCTTTTCCAGGACTGGTTTCTCTCACTAAACTTTACATCTGCCAACCATATTTGTCCACAAACTCATTTTTTGATTTTGAGAGGTTGGAACTCAGACCCAAACAGAAATTTTGGCATCAACTGGATGTGGCCAACAGTTGAAGTCATAAGACATGGTTAGGAGGGAAGGGGGTGGCAGGCAGGGGCCAATACCTCAGTTTCCCTTGGAGTCTGCAAAATAAACTAGTAAAACAAGTTCTGTAGGGAAATGGACAATGCAAAGAATGCAGTTCTTCAGGTAGACAGGGTAAGAGTTTAAACTGCAAAATGGTTTAATCCAGCCGTGGGCAAACTACAGCCCGCGGGCCGGATCCGGCCCATTTGAAATGAATAAAACTATTGAAATAAAAGACCGTACCCTTTTATGTAATGATGTTTACTTTGACTTTATATTAGTTCACACAAACACTCCATCCATGCTTTTGTTCCGGCCCTCCGGTCCAGTTTAAGAACCCATTGTGGCCCTCGAGTCAAAAAGTTTGCCCACCCCTGAGCAGGGTCAGAGACCAGATGGAAGAAGGTTCCATATGTTTGGTCACAAAATTATGATATTAGAATTCTCTATTGCAACATTTCATTATTCCTTAGAAATGTGTGTTTTGGCCTTTCTCTGAGCCAGTTATAATATATCCTTGGTTCTCTCTGTTTAAGAGAAAACACAGGCCCAAATGGTGTCACTGGTGCTAAAGCCCATGATACTAAAGCTAGATTTAATACCTGAGGCTAATTGCTATTTCTATCCCTAAAATATAATTTTAATCAACCATTCTGGTACCTCACCATAGAAAGAAGATGCAATCTGCACGATAAAAGGTCTTGACATTCCCTTCTTCCCAAAATATGTCTTGGTCTGAAAATAATATTTTATTTTGTCCCATCCTTCTTCCTATAAAGACCTTATATTTTGGACAACTCTTGTGAAAGGTTAACATGGTGGTACATGGGAAGGCTGAATAGCCATCTCAGACAGTGGATAAAGCATTAAATTCATTTAAGGAAAGGGGGTGGGGATTGGATATCCTTTGCACAGAATCTCGAGGCAAGGGGACATTGAGTCGATGAAGGAGCTGGAATTTCATCCTTATTTGCAGTCACTAGCGGGAAGCTGTTGTCCTCAGTGGGTCTGGGGGTTGAGTCCATGGGCTTGGAATATGGATGGAATGAGGATGTATGAGGATGGAATGCAGGTATGTGATCAGGTGTCTTCAGGACAGTTTCCATTCCTTATATGGTCTGATTCTTGGTATCTAGCAAGTTTTCCTGGTCTTTTGTTCTCATGTGGCAGGAAGCTTACATATGGCCCTTAAGGACTAACCCCTCAGGAACACCCTTTTGGTTGCTGGACTGAAGCTGCCTGATTCATGAATCCCTTAGTACAGTAAATTAGGTCTTTAAATTGCCTCGGTTGAAAGTTTGTTGTCTAACATCTCATATGAATAAAATGCATTCTTTACTACATATTCATTTCATATTATATAAGAGTCAAGATTTTACTTTTTTCTGAACATTATCTTTTAATGTTAGTTTGGGTGTAGGGATGTGGGCAAAAGGCTGAATCAAGTGTGTTTAATGGAAAGCAAGATCAAGATAGCCGATTTGGTATTCAGAAAAATCTTTTTTTGGTGAAGCACACTGAAAAATGTCAATACAATTTAACAATCATCGTTTTTAAGCGTGAGAGGCGAGAAGAGGCTTGACACGATGAGAAAGCAATCCAGAGAGGTGAGTACTGCACTCACTCTTGGGACATGAAACAAAGCCTGAGACCAGAACGGGGTGGGAGGGAGGACCCCATAGAATAATGCTGGGGTTCTTCAAAGGGCAAACCGCAAGGGAAAACACCTGCCTGGCCTTTAAAAAGGAGATGGTGAAAGTACTTGCCCGTTTTGGCCTTAGCTCCAGTTGAGGCAGAATGAAAGAAGCAAAAGTTAACTACTGAGGATTTCGACCACAAGCTACACACACCTTCTTTGTTTAAGGAACTGAAATAAGGCAGGTTTGGGGAGAATTTAATGAGCTAAAGGAGTAGGTTCTTGTCTCTGTTCTTATTCGTCACCTCCTTGTTACCCTGACACAGAAAGTTGCAAATGCTAACTTCTCTATTTCATGGCATCGCTCAGCTATGAGGGTGTTTTTTGACTCACATTATAAGAGCCCAAACCTGACTTGTTGCAGTGCACACATGCAGGTAACAAGAAGAAGAAAATCCACAGATTCTACTCCTCTCCAATTCCCATCTCACAAGAATTGGTTTGTTACATAATGATGATACTTACTCGAATTTTTATTTTCTCATTTGATCCACTAGTCAGTATGTTTCCCCAGGCAAGAACATTAAAAAAAGAAAAATAGTTGTTTTTATTTCCTCTCCTCACATTTATTATTTTCTTTGAAACATTATTTTCCTTTGTTGAGAGGGATAGTTAGTTACATTAATAATAAATCTCAAAATGGGAAACCAAACTTGAACTAAAAATCTTACTCCATAATCTCAGAAAGAATATTTATTTTAAAAAGAAACGTAAATGTTTCTCTGAGGTCCAACCCCATGATAATTCACTCTGAATAGACGTGGGTCCTCTCTCACTCACATCTGTCTTATCAAAAACAAGGCATTCTGGGGAAGCCTTTTGATCTTTCACTCATCAGTTACCTCTGAGACACCCTGTCTTGGCTTCTAAGGGTTACTGAAATCTGAAAGCCTTGAGTTTCTGCTGGGAAATTTCCAGATCTTCCTTCCCATTCCCAATTTCCTGGAGGATGCCTTCCCTCCCTCCTCCTCTTTTCTACAAAGTGCTTATCTCCTTTTCTCCTTCCAGGCATAATTCCTTCCAGTAATACCAGGAAAACAATTATCTTTACTGTCCTACAGCAAAAGCCTCCTAGGAGGCAAGAGAGTGCAACAGGTAAGTGGGAAAAAGTGCACTGAGGACAAAAGACAAATTAATATCTCAATCCATTATGCTGTCTCACAGCTTTTACGGGAGTACCCTTCCCTCATAACCAGAAATACCTGATAAAAGAGGAAAAGGCCCAGCACTAACACACCAGCCAATCTGTGGGTGACTGAGGAGTGCCCTAATCCTCCCATCAGTGGCCTAACCTTCATAATCTTATTAGTGTACAACCACAGTGTTTTATTCCTGAAATCTGAAACCGGAAGAAGAAAGGAAATTCAAATTACAAATGTCCCCACACATTTATTTAAAAATTATGCTTTGCTACACATGCAGATGCTTATGTTCCCTGACAATCTTTCTAAGCCCTTTACCCAGCTGTGGCCTTCAGGACATTCAAGAAATGAAATCATCTCTTGACTTCCATAGGCACATGAGACTCAAATGGAAAGACCTTGCCAGGAACAATATAGGGAGATGAATGTTGCTTCTGCTAAGAAACCAATGGAGAGTTGTGTTTACTTTTTATACATGCCAGTCAAATATTCATTTATAATTAAAGTTATTGTACTGAAAAATTACAATCATTTCTCAACATACTAGAAAGTCTATTGTGTAGCATCATGGATTGCACACCGATGACACTTAATGAATCAGTGTTTCTTGGAGACTAAATCTGGCAGAAATGGAATGGCTGTTAGTTCTATCAGGACTTTAGTTTCTTGGGGAGGTATAATTGTACTAATTAGTTGAGATATGTAGAAGTTTGTTCTTAAACTGTTGGTGTTTTGTTTTTATTTTTTAATATGTTTTTATTGATTTTAGAGAGAGGGAGCGGGAGAGAAAGGTCATTGAGAAGAGAAATGTCGCCCCCTACTGGGGTTCGAGCCGGCAATCCAGGCATAGCCCTGACCTGGAATGGAACCTGAAACCTCTCCAGGCACAGGCCAATGCTCCACCATGGGCCAGGGCCTGTCCGTGCGTTTTTAACTAAAAGCATATTACATTGAAATGTTATTGTTCTCATTTTTGTATGTCAGTCTGAGAAATCGATTGGGGAAGTGAGCCTCCATACAGCTCCTTTCATGTTGCTTTTATTATGTGGAACTGAGAATGTCTTTGCACTTATGAAGTGGCCACGGAGAGCATCTCTTACAAATAGGGATCTAAACCTCAGAGGAATGTACTGAGAGGATCATAATGCATGTTGGCATTCCAGCATTTCCTCACAACAGCACCATTTTCCAAACAGTCTCTTTTTTAATAATATGGCTAAAGATATAATTTAATTTAATGCTCAACACACAGTATTTGATTGGCTGTGGGTTACTTTTGTTTTGTTCTTTTTTTTTTTGTATGTGGAGAAAAGGAACCCAGTCAGCCTTTTTTGGATTAAAATACATATACTCCAGCACCACCTACTGGGAATAGGGTTATAGTGTCCCAAATTACAAGAAATTAAAACACCAATCTGATTCTTTCTCCAAAACTTTCATTTATCTTCTTGCTTTTTCTCCTTCTTGTATTATTTCCTGTTGTTCCTCTATTCATTTTTCCTTATTTCCTTTTACCTATTAGAAATACTCTGACTTGAGTGTCCTCAGTGGTCTCAGAACTGTCTCTTGCTTCAACAGTGTTCGGACTGAACAGAACCAGGGATACCCCTTCTTCCAGCCTCCACATTTTATCTGCTCACCACCTTCCGAACCACCTCTGAGACCAGCCAACACAGCGTTGTGTTTTGTTTTTCTACCTTAACTCCTGATTGCCGAACAAACATGAGCTCCCAAATTCGTCAGAATTACTCCACCCAGCTGAAGGCTGCAGTCAGCCATCTGGCCATCCTGCACCTGCGGGCTGCGAACACCTACCTCTCTCTGGGCTTCTATTTCCCCGTGAAGATGTGGCTCTGGAGGGCGAGTTGGTGGAGAAGAAGCGCGAGGGCGCTGAGCTTCTCTTAAAGTTGCAAAAAGCGCGGTGGCCGCATTCTCTCCCAGGACCTGCTGAAGCCTCCCCAGGATGAGTGCGCAGAACTCAGGACGCCGTGGAAGCCGCCCTGGCCTTGGAGAGGAACGGAACCAGGCCCTTTTGGAGCTGCAGGCCCTGGTTCTACCCGCGCAGACCCTCAGCTCTGTGGCTTCCTGGAGAACCACTTCCGGGTGAGGAGGTGAAACTCATAAAGAAGATGGGAGACACCTGACTCACCTCCGCAGGCTGGCGGCCCCCAGGCTGGGCGGGGCGGGGCGGGTATCTCTTCGAAAGGCTCCCCCTCAAGCGGACTAGGAGCCTGTGGAGCCCAGAGGCCTTTGAGGGGCCCCTCTGCATCCCCCTGGGTCTGGCTTTTACCTGAGCCTCTCCCCGAAACTACCAGCCATTCTTTGAGCCTCCCTGGAGCCCTCTCCCATGCATTGGACCAAATGAAACAATAAAGCTTTTTGCAGCAAAAAGAAAGAAAAGAAAAAAGAAAAAATACTCTGACTTTTACAATATAATTCTCATAAACATTTGTCTAAAACAAGCACTTTATGATATGAAGACAGATTAAAGATAAGAAAAAAGAGATCCATGACAGATCATGTCTTTACCTTGCAAAAATATAAGTATAAAATAATGCCTGAATTTTTAAAATTTTAATTAGAAATATGTTTATTGATTAAGAAAGGCAATAAAAGGTCATGAACACACAAACACAACTATTGCTAACCTCTGAAAATGTATTAAAGCCAACTTTTGACAAGTCTTAGGAAGTTTTTAATACAGTTGCAAGCTTATAGTTAAAACAATAATGGTTGCCGAAACCGGTTTGGCTCAGTGGATAGAGCGTCAGCCTGCGGACTGAAAGGTCCTAGGTTCGATTCCGGTCAAGGGCATGTACCTGGGTTGCGGGCACATCCCCAGTAGGAGATGTGCAGGAGGCGGCTGATCGATGTTTCTAACTCTCTATCTCTCTCCTTTCCTCTCTGTAAAAAATCAATAAAATATATTTTACCCCCCCCCCAAAAAAAAAAAACAATAATGGTTATAGCTAAAATATATTGGACATACACTTTCAACCAGGAGCTCCCCTAAGATCGCTTTATGGGTCATCTAGTAGCAACTCTGTGATGTAGGTGTTCTTTTTTCATCATTTTAACATGAGAAGGTTGTAACACAGAAGTGTTAACTCATTTAACGTCACATTAGTAAGTGGGTGAACTGGTTTTCAAAAGCACATTTTAGATGCAGTGTATGCGTTTTTATTTTTAAGGCTTAATTTCTAGGTATTTGACAATTAGCATAATTGAAATAAAATTTTAATCATCCATAGGCATTCCTTTGAAAAGTCCTCTAAGATCTGACTAGTTCAGTTAGGATAACTCTGCTTTGCTTTTAGGCATTATTATTGTCGTATTCTTCATTTGTTTTCTTTTGTTTTACTTTATTACTGATATCTTAGTTTGCCCATTGACTATTTTTCATGCAATAGTCAGAAAGGATAAAAATAAATATAAAAATACTTGTGTTTTTTTTTCTTGGCCTCATCTTGGGCCAAATTCATAACGTGCAGAAAGAGCCTTTGTGAGAGAATGGGTAGGATGGGGCATGCATGGAGTCAGATGGAACAGGCCTGCAGGGAGGGGGAGCCAACACTCCTACTGCCCCACCATAGTGGAATATTTTACCCTTGCTGAAATTATATTATTTGACTTTGCAAAAGGTTATACACATTTATAGTTTTCTATTGTTGTTTTAATTGGATTTTTTTTTTAAAACCAGGGAGATTGGATCCTGGTAATATAATTTAAAAATATTTTACACTTCATTTTTTGTCAGTATTATATTATAAATACAAAGTATTCTATAATCAAGCATAAATGCTTTTTGTATAATATTATGTTCAATAACATATACAATTATTTTCTTTTAGTAATATAGTTAACTTAGAATTTTCTACAAATGCATTCATCTAGATTTCTGACTTTATATTTTCTCCTTGGGAAGTCACAAAATATTTTCCAATAGAATAAAATGAAATGGTAACTATGTGAGATGATGGATGTATTTTTTGATGGGTATATTAATTAACCGCAGTATGGTAATTATTTCACAATGTATGCATATAGTCAATTATCATGTTGTAAAACTTAAAAATGTTTTAAATAAATGATGAGAAGAAAAGAAATAGGATCTTTTCCTTTTTATGCATTTGGCACAGAAAATTACAAATAACATTCATTTCCGCTTTGAAGAGTTTGAATGCTACAGTCCAAAATTAAGATCTAGTATGGCATTTAATTAGCTAAACAGATTAGAGAAGCAATTCCAAAATCCCAACAATGTGGAGAATTTGCTTGGAATAAATTATATATCTAGGATCTGATGTGAACAGACTAAACAGGTTTTTGAGTTTTATTTATGTGCTTAACCAAGTGGTATCAAGAACTTTGCTTATGGACTATACCATCTCATTTTATTCCAAATGAAGAGGAATTTAGCCTAGTTTACAATTAGTATTGCAAGAGAGAATTCTTTATTGTTTCATTGTTCTACTAGAGGCCCGGTGCATGAAATTCGTGCAAGGAGGTGGGGGTGGTTCCTCAGCCTGGTCTGTGCCTTCTCACAATCTGGGACCCCTCACTTCTAACCATTTGCCGCTTGCTCCTAACTGCCTGTCTGCTCACTCCTTACTGCCCACCTGCTTGCTCCTTACCACTCGGCTCACCACTCCTTAGCGCTGCCGCAGAGGCGGGAAAGGCTCCCACCACCGCCACTGTGCTCACCAGCCATGAGCCGGCTTCTGGCTGGACAGTGCTCCCACTGTGGGAGCGCACTGACCACCAGGGCGAAGCTCCTGCATTGAGCGTCTGCCCCCTGGTGGTCAGTGCGAATCATAGCAACCGGTCATTCTGCTTGTTTCGTCATTCCGGTCGCTTAGGCTTTTATATATATAGACTAGAGGCCCGGTGCACAAATTCGTGCATGGGTGGGGTCTAGCTGGCTCGCCCTGATCAGGGCTGATTGGGCCGGGCCAGCCGGGGGGAGGTGCCCTGGGTGGTTGGCTAGACAGCCCTGCCCCCTGGTCAAACTCCTGCTTGAACTCTTGGTCAAATTATCAGTTGAGGGAAAAATTTCCATATTAGCTTTTTATTATATAGGATTCTCCTTTTGGCTCCTCTGTTATTTCTTCTGCAGTTTTACGGGTCATCTAGAATGAGTGGTGTCTCATGATATTTGTCTTATTCTAAAGGAGAGCAATATTATTTATGCAGGAAACATCTAAGAGTGGACTTAAACATATTTAAATAACTTTTGGCTAGCAACCCAAAAGAAATAAACAAAAATCAAAGCCTTGAGACTGCTGGTGTCTCTGCCTAGGGAGTAAAATTGTTCTTTTTTCCTTTCCCCTTTCCCCCTCCCTTTCTACATTCTCTCATTAGGGAGGCTTGTAACCATTTGCTCACAAGTGTCCTTGGCTGCGGAAGATAATGGCTTGTTAGTTACAAGCTGGCTGCAAACTGCCCACACTGTTTGGCCTTGTTTTAACTTTCCTGTATCAGGTTCCCTATTCTTCCTGCTCTGGAATCCTATAACCCGTTCACCTTCACTTTGTAAAATCTCTTTAATCACTCTTTCTCATTTGGATAAGGATGGTTTCATTTTTTCTGATGTGACTAAGGCCCTTGCTATGTGTTGTTCCTCCACTGTGCTAATCACCTGAAAAAAAACAACAACAAAAAACAAAGTTAGTTTTAATTTCTAGCTAACAATGTGTTTTTGATCTATGAAGTAGAGGCAGACACTATTATGTCATTATTTCCTAAGAAGCAGCAATAAAATGTACTTATAAAAAAGAATCATGGCCCTAACTGGTTTGGCTCAGTGGATAGAGCGTCGGCCTGCGGACTGAAAGGTCCCAGGTTCGATTCTGGTAAAGGGCATGTACCTTGGTTGTGGGCACATCCCCAGTAGGAGGTGTGCAGGAGGCAGCTGATCAATGTTTCTCTCTCATCAATGTTTCTAACTCTCTATCCCTCTCCCTTCCTCTCTGTAAAAAATCAATAAAATACATTTTTTTTAAAAAAAGAAGCATGTATGAAATACCAAACACTTTAAATTCTGATGTGCATTTTAAAATGTTTTTTTTAATGTTCCAGAAATGTGGGAAATGGCTTAAAACTAAATTGAGGTATTTGTTGCTGTTGTAGTTGAGTCTTTTTGAGTAACTGCTTATTTAAGGAGAGAACAGCTTTAATAATTGCTTTATAAAACATAATATACAGACTTTTTAAAGGATATTTGGAAATATGTTCACAGAAAGTTTCTATGTATACTCTAAATGGGCAACAAGCAAATGGGGTGAATATAAAAAGAACATTTTATTAACTAAATAACCAACATTAACTTAATAAATAAATGTGCAATAAATGGATACATAACCATGTGTTGTGTATTAAATCTTAAAAATGGCTTTAGCCCTAACCAGTTTGGCTCAGTGGATAGAGCGTCGGCCTGCAGACTGAAGGGTACCAGGTTCGAATCCGGTCAAGGGCATGTACCTTGGTTGTGGGCACATCCCCAGTAGGGAGTGTGCAGAAGGCAGCTGAATCGATGTTTCTCTCTCATCGATGTTTCTAACTCTCTATCCTTCTCCCTTCCTTTCTGTAAAAAAAAACAACAATAAAATATATTTTAAAAATGGCTTTAAATATTTTGCATTCAGTCATAATTCCAAGACACTCTTCCACTGTATTCTTTCCCTGAATCTTGTCTGTCCACAAGTTTCATAAAAGCAAAATATATACCACATCTACTATTGAATTATCCATTTTCATATATATATATATATATATATATATATATATATATGTGTGTGTGTGTGTGTGTGTGTGTATATATATATATATAATTATTCTCCACTGAAAAAAGACATAATTATTTTAACTAACAGTCTAATTGCTATAAGAATATCACTATATCACTATAAATTTTAGTTGTATAGACTTTTTATTTTTTATTATGATGAAAAAAATATACCTTTAAGATCTAGTAAGATTTTCAGCAATTAATATTAATATTACAACTACTGGTACTCATATTTTTATATATACTCTAAGTCACAACTTACATTTATAGTTGATATTGTCTTATGCTAAATTCAAATGATTTTAACCAACTGTTCTCATGTTTAACTTGCTATGACGCTATAAATTATTAGTGTTTTTTAAAAGTATAGAATAAGAGTATGGGTTGGGGGAGGTAAATGCACAAAAGTTCATATTTATAATTGCATACTTGTTTAATTTTTGTCACAAGATTAATTATCTTCCAAGGTTTACAAAGTCAAAGTTTAGTGATGTTTCTTAGAACATATTTATGGATTACTTGAGCTTTGAATGCAGGTTACTAATTCATCAATTTGTAACTCAAGACCTTTATGAAGATAATTATGGTCTTGGTGTCTTATTTATTTTAATGTATTATTCCTCTGCTGTTTTACCCTAAAATCCCATCTGAATCATTATCATCCAAGATAAGCTTTGTCTAAGTTATAACCAGTGAATTGGTAGAATTCTAAATTGGAAGACATATCTGGCTATTTTCTCCAAAACTCAGAGAGAGAATAGATCTCTGCTTTCAAAGACATAGTTTGGAAGATCCTCAAACTGTGGTATAATAATGAATCTAGAAAGTGTGCTTTACTGAACAGCCAGAGCCTATATCTCCACACGACATTGTGAAATGAGTTTTCAAAGTTCTTTGTGAGAAGGGGGAAAAAAAAAAAAACCCATGAAAGAAAATGACATATATACATTTCTATATCCACGAGATAAAGACCTTCAAATATATTCCCTATGCATATCAAGCAACACGAGGGTTTCAGCTTTTTAATACACTGTCTTGTATTACAAATTCAAATATGAGA